CAGGTGCTCAATCAGTGGTTCAGACCGTGACTCAACAGTTCCTACAAATAGTTGACTTAGAAAAATTCAGAGCTCATAAACTAATTAAAACCTGTTGATTTCAATTTTAGTGATGTTTGGGAACTGTTGATCACAGCCCAAAACACTGATTGACCACCTAAGGCAAGCAGTGAGTCAGCTGCGGGAGCACAGGTGAAGGCAATTCTCCTGTGCTACTGGAAGGGGGGAGCCTGGCTCCACCTCCCCTAGATCCCATTTAAGGGCTGCCTGCCAACAAGGAAGGATCTTCTGGAGATTGCTCCTCTTGGAGTTTATTACAAACCTACACCAGTGAGCATTTTTCATTTATTATCTTTCTACCGCGATAAGCCTACTTGGCCTAACCTCTGTACACCTATTGATTGTACAAGTGAGAATCCTAAAAATATTTGTCTCAAATCCTCAAACAATGTTGATCACGCTATTAGAAGGAGCACGGACTCACAAAATCTGGAAAACAGAGATGGAAATACAGTGCTCTTTCTTCTGTGTCTTTGTTTGTTTGTTTTAATACATGCCACAAATAATTTCCACCAAAAGCTAACATATCTTATTTTTACAGTGATCACTGAGAATCTCTGAAGGCTTTTAAATAGTAAAACTAATCATAAATGCTGTGAAATTTTATATATTTTTTTTCTTTTGGATACATACCTCAGCTATAACAGATATAATAGGAATTCAGAAATGTTAAATCTTGTGCTAATACATGCCTACTCTTACTCTATTACACACAGTGTAAAGGATGACACTCTCCTAGAATAATTCATTGATAGTGCAGGTGCCTCCCACACTGACAACTGAATTCAACCAGGAATCCTTTAATGAGCACATGCAAAATGTGTAGCAACTTTGCACAGCTACTCCTTAAAGAGCAAAGCTGTACAGGTTTTTTGATTAGCTTACATGCTGCTGAAGAACACGTGTTGGGTTTTACTACATCACTGTTACATTTTACCATCTTTAAAAAACAACAGGAAAAATAGCAGAAAACAAAAAACAAAAAAACAAAGCACCACTTCAGATTATTTAATGTTAGAAAAATGAGAACTTATATTTTTTATGTCACATCTAACTTTTTTAAACATAGATGATGAAACTTTTTTAAACAATGATGAAAAATGATGACTATTCAGTTATAACCAGTCTTTTGGCTTAAAAGCTTGAGCTCCACCTGCTGACAAGTTTTTCCAGATTACAGAGCCAGAATACCAAGTCTTAGCTTTACCAGTGGTTACAGCATACTGCAAAATCATAGAATCACAGAATCATAGAATCAACAAGTTTGCAAAAGACCTCCAAAATTGTCCAGTCCAACCATCCAGCTGCCAGCAATATGTCTCCATTAAACCATGTACCTTACAACATCTAAATGTTTCTTGAACATCTCCAGGGACGGTGACTACATGAACCACAATTACGCTGAAATAGCATAATTGCTGTATTCTACTTAAAAGACAAGTAGTTCTCAGGAAAAAAAAAAACAGACAAATACTCTAAAATACTGTTCTGTGCTGTTACAATAATTCTTTCTACCATATAAGGATATGGGAAGGCATACATTAAACTGGCATACAGATTCCACCATATTATTGCTAAACAAAATTATTTACTATTTCATATTATGACTTTATATCAGTTAAATCTACTGCCAAGCTTTTGCAGTCCCTGAACATTTCCTGTTCTGTACCAATTTTCTAGTCATCACTGATTTTCTAAGTGTAATCTCTTAACATGAAATGCAAACCACTGCTGCACATTTCAGTAAGTTACACTTGCATTGCAAAGTTCCAAATATTGTCAATACTTTTATTTCTAATCAGAAGATTTGATAATACTGGAGTTTTCTTGTTACTTTCTCCGTTTTAATTGTGGTAGACTATTGTCACACACTTAAAATAGTATAATATACATATACAAAGACAAGTGACAGACGATCCATTCATTGACTAACCACTGATCTAGCACAAGCTTCCAGTTAACTTTTGTGACAGTGACATAATCTTTAAAAACTTCGATACTATATCATTTTGGCATAAAAATAGCTGTTTTACTAGAAATAACAATCTATGTCATAGTATTTATCTCCTTCCTACATTAGGGACGAATCAGATACAAAGGAAGTTACAAAACAAAATACAGGTTACCTAACTCTGTTTACAAAATCACATAAAACAGCATTTCAGAGCCAGCCTACATGTGAGAGTCATACAATACTATTACATATTCTAAGAGATGAAAAACAAAACAATTTGAAAACTACTCCCTTTTGATACTGGCTCCATTTGTGTGGCACTAAATAAATACTTTATATAAAGAAGTCTGCAATTTTAAACTTAAAATAACCCAAAAAATTCACAAACCTCAAGATGTACTCGCAACATAAGCCAAACAAAAAATCAGTAATTAGTAGGAAAACAATTTTCAAATCACACATTTACAGCAAATTTTTCAAGAAGAGCAAATAAGTACAATTAAATGTAGTATCACACTACATTTAGATTACACAGACTTCAAGACAGGAGATTTCAAACTCTTCAGGAAACTGCTTGCAGGGTGACGTGGGCTAAAGCCCCGGAGGGAAAAGGGGACCAAAAAAACTAGTCAGTATTCAAGGACCATCTCCTCCAAGCCCAGAAGCAGTGCATCCCAAGAAAAAAAGAAAGCAGGAAAGAACACCATGAGGCCTTCGTGGATCAGTGAGGAGATTGTGGACTTAATTAAGTACAAAAAGAAAGCCTATAAGGGAAAGCCAGGGAAGACACGGGCCCTCTCCAGAAGGAAACTGGAGAACTGGACACAAGGGATACAGAGAAAGCTGAGGTGTGACTTCTTTGCCTCAGACTTCACTACCAAGTGTCCTAGCTACATCACTCAAGTTACAGAAAGCAAATGTGTGAAGAAGGAAAATCTGCATACTGTAAATGAAGATCAGGTTCGAGGCTATCTAAAGAACCTGAGGGTGTACAAGACCATGGAACTCGGTAAGATTCATCCATGGGTTCTGAGGGAACTGGCAGATGAAGTTGCCAAGCCACTATCCATCAGATTTGAAAGGTCATGGCAGCCTGATGAAGTTCCCACTGATTGGAAAAGGAGACACATAACTCCCATTTTCAAGAAGATGAAAAAAAGAAGATCTAGGGAACTACAGGCCAGTCAGTCTTACCTCTGTGCCTGGCAAGATGATGGAGTGGATCCTCCTGAAAGCCCTACTACGGCACGTGGAAAATAAAGATGAGGTGATTGGTGCTAACCAACATGGCTTAAACAAGGGCAAGTCAAGCCTGACAATCCTGGTGGCATTTTACGATGGAGTTACAGCATCAGTGGATAAATAATTGGTGTCATCTACCCGGAATTGCGCAAAGTGTATGACACTCTTCCACATGACATCCTGGTCACCAAATTGGAGAAAAATGGATTTGATGGACGGGCCAAGCACTGGATAAGGAATTGGCTGGATGGCTGCACTCAGAGTGTTAGTGTTCAACAGCAGAGATGAGTGGTGTTCTTCATGGTCCAGTGTAAGGACCAATGTTATTTAACATCTTTGTAGGTGATGTGAACAGTGGGATCAAGCATACCTTCAGCAAGTTTGCAGACAACAACAAGCTGAGAAGTACAACTGACATACTAGAGGAAAGACATGCTATCCAGAGGGACCTAGACAGGCCTGAGACACGGGCGCATGCCAACCTCATGAAGTACAACAAGGCCACGTAAAAGGTCCTGCATTTGGGTTGACGCAATCCCAAATACATGTAGGTTGGGAAAAGAACAACTTGAGAGAAGCCCTAGGGAGAAGGATTTGGGAGTGTCAACTGATGAAAGAGTCAACATGAGCCGACAATGAATGCTTGCAGCCCAGTCCAATTCTATCCTGTGCTGCATCAAAAGAAGAGCCAGCCCCAGCAGGCTGAGGGAGGTGATCCTACCCTCAATGCTTGTGAGGCCTCACCTGGAGTTTATAATGCAGGGGAGGGGAATAAACTTTTTACAAGGCTAGACAGAGATAGGACAAGGGGGAATGATTTTAAGGTCAATGAGAGAAGGTTTAGATTAGATGTCAGGGGGAAGTTCTTCACAGAGGTGAAGGTGCAAGAACAGACTGTTCAGAGAGGTTGTGGATGCCCCATCCCTGGAGGTTTGGAAAGACCAGTTTGGAAGGAGACCTGGGCAACCTGGTCCAGTTACCAAATCTGAAGTTTGGTGGCCCTGTGGCAGGGGGTTGGAAATCAATGATCCTTGGGGTCCCTTCCAACCCAAGCCATTCTATGATTCTATGATTACTATCTCAACATAAGTGCATATAATTAAGAAAGGGAAGTCCCCCCAAAAAAGTAGACAAGTACATTTTAAGATTACACAGAATCTTAAAAACTAACACAAGTTTATTTTTATTAGAAAGAGCCATCTAAAATTAAGAGGCCAACTAAAAATAAGCTGCAAGGAATTGGGTGTTAGCAAGTAAGAGTTAAATGGAATGATTACAGTATGTGAAGTTAATTTCTCAGTGACATAATGCATGCAGTATTCCAACAGCTTTTATTTGTTAGTTTTCTGTCTGCAACTGTGAACATATTGCTTCAACAAAGCCAACAAAATTATCAATAACTCATACTCAAGTTTATTAAATCTATTTAAAGATTTACACTTTTAATTATAAAACAATCTAATGAGAAGTTAAGTCTCTAGGGTGCAGGAGGCCAAATTAAGTCTGCAGATATACAAAGAGTAATGTAAATTATTGCAACTTATAAATAAATAAATAAATAGATAGATAGATAGATAGATAGATAAATAAATAAAACCACACAACTGAATTGTTTTTCCAACTAGTCAGTTTCTGAAAATGGAAAGAGAAGTTTATTCACTCCAGTCACCCATTCATGTGTCATGAAACGCTGATCTAAGGAACAACATATGATAGTAAGACTGTATAATTCTGTAAAGCTTACCATAGAAGTGACTGATCTGGCATCTTCTTCATAATTCACTACAGGTGGTGGTTCTTTCCCATCATTCTCTTGCACTTTTTGTTCCAGTAGTTCTTTCTGGGCTGCAAATTTTGCTTCAGAGCATCTTAATTGCTGAACAGTTTGCTTAAGTTCTTCCAGTGCTTGCTTTTGGCTCAGCAAGAGAACAATACTGAAAAGAAAATTAACTTTAAAATGCACATAATTTAAGGTATATTTTTTATTTTATGAAAGCTTAAAAAAAAAAAAAAAAGCTACAACAACTTTTTTCTTGTCTTCTAAAAGCGATTTTCACTCTGCTCTGCATAATTCTCTGTTTTTCAACAGCTATTGAAATCATACCCCCTAATCTACTTGTGGTCTCATTTATACCACTACTACACAGTATTTCACCATTAACATACAAGAGAATACAGGAATATTTTTACATTCCCACTTGTTACCTTTGACCTTATTCCAAATGCAGAGCGACAGCTGCCCTCAACCACTCAACATTTTCATTACTGTTTGTAGAAATTTACATTTTTATTAACCTCTGGACGTTAGACCTGCACAGCAATCTTTTAACCTCAACCATTTGGATTTATTAAAACATCATTACTGAAGTGCAATGCAGAATGCTGTATGGATTTACTACTGTGTCACCTCGTCTTATCAGTTAATTCTCTTCCGAGCCAGAATTTCAGATTAATATTTAGTTATGTTTTCTGTCCACTTTCTTGTTTTCATTCTATTTACTGATACTTCTTTTTAAAGATATTTTATTACACTCATAGACTTCAAACTGTTGCCCTATTAAAAAAAGCCTCATAGAAGACCAAAGATTCTCATTTCTCAAACAATACTTGCATCATGGATGACTGTATCAGTTCTAGAAGCTTCCTGGGAAAAATAGTACATGAAACAGATCTGGAAAAAAAAACCTGTAAGTGGCCTTGCAGCCGCACGTAAAAAAATTGTACTTGGCTCTTAATTGTTTCCAGTGCCACAGTCAGCAAGGTTTTCACCTTTCTTGCACGCCACTAGAGAACCATTCTGCATAGATTAAAAAAAAAAATAGCCCCAGACTCTTCAGTTCTCCCAGAAGTGACCCATGTGAATAAGAGAAACACACACCTTGCACTGAGACCATCAAGTACAAATTTAGCTTCAGAAGCATGAGACAACACCAATGAAATAACAGAAGACTGATTTCCTAATAATGAATATGCAGGAGATCAATTAAATGAAGGTGGCCATAAAACAGATCTTCACATGCTCAACTTCAATAGGTACTCTATAACAGACAATCAAACATTAGCAAAGGACAAGCAAACTATTTAGGACATCCACCTGCAAGCTAGATGGCTATTATCTTCAATAATTGCCAAAACCAAACATGGACAGAATCTGTCCAAGAGTGTGAATCATCTATGGTACAACACTAACACACTCAGAACATTCCACTTGAGCCCAGAAGCTTGGTCTAGAAAGAAACAGAGAATTCTCATAGTCTGAAAGAGCAGAAAAAGGAAGTTGAGGGACCAGGCCTACCATGAACAAGGACACTAAAGAAAAATTACAGTATTCTGTCATTCTGTGTGCTCTTCATTTGAAGAAAAAAAGAAATTTATGAATTATTCCTGATTATCAAGTCCATTATTCCTACTTCAGAAATGAAGTTGTTTGTTGTACTCATGAACAAGGTTCAAGCACTTCTGTTGACACCACCCAAAAGACCACGGGAAAATCCTGAAAAAAATCAAAAGCAAGCCTCGTAATTCTGTATATCCACTGTTTCAGCTCCATCTGACAAAGAAGGGGACACGGCCTTGTCTGTTGAAGAAGTCACTCTGTCATAACTTATACATACAGACACTAAACATTGTGTAGGCAGGCATATGCTGATTGCACTACAATCCAAAAGTCATGGATGGCAAGATTGCTCCTTTAGAAACTGATCCTGGGCTAGGTGGTTACTCAAACAAGTTCCAAAGTAATAAGAGAGACATCACTGGTGGCAAAAGACAGAAAATCATATCCCAGGATGTGTGCAGTGTTCCACGTTAGCAATGAACAAAACTCCTTACAGCAGTCCAATGATCTTCTGTGTGAAAAGGATGAGTGCAGTGTATGAAGACATAAATGGAAGACTTGAAAAGTAAAGTTCAGCATGAGAAAGCAGATATTTAAAAACATTACACAAAGATATGAACTCCCCAAGACAGTTTTCTTCATCTCATCCTTATCAATGAGGGAAAATAAAGACCAAGCATCTCCCCACAAAAATGATGGCTTTCCACCATCAGTAGGACCTTGGTGAATACACATTATCATCTAAAATGACAGCATTCCAAATGCAGAATGGTTACAACTCATCACGAACCATAGACAAGACCCTAGGTGTTGAAACTCAGGAGCTATTCCCTTCTCAACTGTGACATGATGTACACCAGGAATAGCTACATGACAGTTTGCCCAAATCCATCACAGAATATTGATCATTCCTTTTACATGTGAGGAATTACTATCTATAAAACTGCTTGTGTCTTTTAAGAGTGAATCCTTGCAAGATTGAAAGAGGGCTGCAAGTGAGAAAGTGATGTATTTCAAGATGCACTTCAACATGCCTTAATGAAAAGCGCAATAGGTCTAAAACTCAATTCAATGTGCTGCCATAATTAGACACCGAGAAACAATACCCAGTGCAGACTGCCACTGAAAAGTCAATAAATTGCTTGGACTAGCAGTGATGAAAATGAGTCAGAAAGAAGTGGGGAAACCTGAGGCTCAACAATAACATAGACTCAAGACAGGCAATGTCTGGACTGAAATAATCTCCTCAACAATACAAACATCTGCTACAGATTACTCAGAGGAGCCTGCACACAAGAAACAGAGGGAGAGTACAAACTACTTTCAGAGAGATGTAACAGATAGCAAGACAATGAACAAGCATTCCTATGGTAAAGCAGAACAATATCCATCCAGTTCAAACTGTTTATCCTGTGAGAAAGTAAGGTAGGTCATGAACTGAATAAATGAAAAACGTATTGTGAGTATGTGTCCTTCATCAACGAAAAAAAAATTTCCTAGTCTGCACTGTATACTTACATAAAGTTTTGAAAGTGACTGAAATGCATTTGACAGTACCAACTGATAAGATGCCTTCCAAGAGCTAAGAATGTGTCTACAGCAAATGAAGATCACCTGAGGTATTGCATTCCAATTTCCTGTTACAGTAAATCAGTATTTATGACCAAATGTTCAGTAAGACTACGACTGACCACAAAGAGAACTAGGGAGACATCACTACAAAAATAAAGGTTTTATCTGTTACAGTAACTTCACTTAAGATTGGGATGTGAGTATGAAATAGAGATGAAAGATCCTGCCCTAAAAGTATTAATTATAATAAATCTTTTATTTATGACACGTAAAACAACCATTAAAATCTCACCTTCATTATTTATTGAGCAGTACCACAAGGCATTGGCTCTACAATCACTATTCTAATGCAAATACCATGAAGAATGAACTTAACATGAGAACTTCTAAACATTACTACATAAGAAAGATTACACAGCTTCCACATAACTAAAAAAGTCTTCTACAAAATCACACGTATACAACAAACTATGTCAAACAAAGAGACAATCCGAATTGATTCTTTTTCTTCATTCAGGCTGAAGTTACAATGCTAAGAAAAGCTCAGTTACTGAGCTACCATCAATATAACAAAAAAAAATTAAATTAATAGAGCTGTTCAGTTTTCTAATTAATTAGGATCTGGAGTCAAGAAGGCTTATTTTAGAAGTTGAAAGTTTACTGTTATTTATAAGTAAGATTACTTTCTCACAAAAGCAGAACAAGACTGGAGATTATTTCTTATTTAAGAGAATGGCATTATAGACATTTTCCTTCACATTATTACAACCAGAAATTTTAATTCCACTTACTCTGACTTCTTTTCACAAGTCTTAGAAGAGTCTTCTATTTTTTTCTCTAGTTCCAACACAAGTTCTTCTTTGCTCAAAAGTGTTTGCTGTGTTTGGATGAGTTCTTCTATTACTGTTTTTAACCTGTAAGATATATAATACCAAAGTCCATGGTGTAAATATATAGAATCTGTACATATTTGAAAACTTTTATTTCCCTAAGAAGCATTCATTTTTAATTTTTAAACAGGTCTGTACTACGCTATGTGCATCTACAAGGTTGCAAAATTATCTGTGCCCACAGGCTCTTCTACCAAGAAAACTTCAGCTATAAACCATGATGAGTTCTGTGGATTAAACCCTTCCTAACATACTGCTGATATCTGAGATGCTTCGTGAAATTAATAACTTTCTACTGAATAAGTAAATACAAAGAATTGACAGCTGGGATAAAATAAGAAAATAATGAAAAACCGTTAGAGACAATGAAAGAACAAGTCCTACATTATTAATTCATACAACACTTATTTTAAGAGCAAGCTGTATACTTCTCTTAACAATTTTTTTAATACCACACAATCTTTGATAACAAAATACGTTCAAATCAAACTATTGTTAAGCCAGGAGTAAAATTTCTAAAGAGTGCCTGTGTGCATTCATATAAAACATATATGTGTTGATGAGCACCAAAAAGTGGCATATACATTACTACATAAGTAGGTTGCTCCAAAAGTAATGCCTTCTATTTAATTCCATGGAGACTACAACAGATACAATGAGCACAATAAAACTACTTGGTAGAGCAAATTCTCAGCTACAAAATACTATGTGCAGTGTAGTCATCACCATCAGCTACATATTTTCACCAGTGATGAACAAGTGCCTACATGCCACACTCATCAAAACCTGCAGCAGCAGGAGCAACCCGCTGTTTCACAGCTGCTATGACAGCATCACTGCTGGGAAAATGTACACCACACAATCTTTTGCTGGCCCAAATGATGACAGTCAGACAGTGCTAAAACCGGACTATAAGATGGGTATGGTAGGACAGCTCAGACAAGACTGACAGTGTGCTTCATTCTTTTTCTTTAAACTAGTATGGGGTCTAGTGTTACCAGATTGCAAGAGAAAGGTTGCCTTCTTCTCTGGCCTAACTCTGGAAGTTCAAGCCTTCAGTTTACTCAGAGTCATGATACAGCAGTCCAAAGTTAATGGTTTGTCTGGGTTCCAGAAAATGCAGAAGGATCACCCCTTCTTAACCCAAAAAACAGCACACATCACTTCACTCATTCAGGGCTGCATCTTGAGCTTTTTCTTTGATGAGGAATTCAAGCCACTTCTTCATGAAATGCCACTTTGATTCCAGCTTGTAGTGATGACATCATGTCTCATCACTAGTAATCACAAAATCACAGAATTGCAGGGGTTGGAACAGACCTTAAGAGATCATCAAGTCCAACCCCCCAGTTAAAGCAGGTTTCCAAAAGTAGGTCATGCCAACAGGCATCCAGACAGGTCTTGAATATCTCCAAAAAAGAAGACTCCACAACCTCTCTGGGCAACCTGTTTCAGTGCTTTGTCACCCTCACTGTAATGAAGTTCTTCCACTTATCTGTGTCAATTTCTTATGCTCAAGTTTTTTGACACTGCTCCTTATCCTATCACAACACACCACTGAGAAAACTCTGGCCTCATCTACTTGCCTCCTTCACTTTAGATATCTATAAACATTGATCAGATCCCCTTTCAGTCTTCTCCAGGCTGAACAAACCCAGGTCTCTCAGCCTTTCCTAGCACGTGAGATGTTCCAGGCCCTTTATCATCTTTGTCACCTCCATATTGGAGTCCTTCCAGGAGATCCCTGCCTTTTTTGAACTGGGGAGTTCAATACTGGACACAGTATTTCAGATGTGGCCTCACCAAGACAGACTATGGGGAGCAGATCACCTCCCTCAACCTGCTGGTCACGTTCTTATTAATGCATCCCAGGATATCATTGACCTTCCTGGCTACAAGGGCACACTACTGGAAATGTAACGATGTATTTCAGGAAAATGATATTGTTAGCCTAGTAACAGCTGGAATTCTCAGCTGCCTTCCCACCTGGAATTGAATCTGGCAAAGGAGATAAAGGTTAGTAAGAAAGGCTTTTTTAAGTATGTCAGCAATAAAAGGAAGGCTAGAGAAAATGTGGGTCACTACTACATGAGGGGGGTGTTGTGGTAAAGGAGGATGCTGAGAAGATGGAGATACTGAACACCACCTTTGCTTCTGTTTTCAGTGCAAAGAGTCCTGTTGGGAATCCCAGACTCCAGAGATAAGTGGGAGAGCCTGGGGAATGGAAGGCTCCTACTTGGTGAGGGAGGAGATGGTCCGAGAGCATCCTGGCAACATCAGTGCACACCCATGGGCCCCGATGGGATGTATCCACAAGTGCAGAGGGAGCTGGCAGAGGTGACTGCTGAACCACATACTACTATCTTTGAGAGGTCTTGGAGAATGGGAGGAATGCCTGAAGACTGGAGGACAGCCAATGTCAATGGTGGACAACAGGCTGACTGAAAGCCAGCAGTGTGGTGGCCAAAGAAGGCCAATGGCATCTTGGAGTGCATCAAAAAGAGCATGGCCAGCAGGTGAAGGGAGGTGATCCTCCTCCTCAACTCTTCCCTGGAATACTGTATACAGCTCTGGACCGAGCTATCCGGGTCCGTTCAGCCTTGAGAAAATTAGACTGATAGGGAATCTGATCGACGACAATAAATATTTAAGGTACAGGAGGTAAAGGGGCAATGCCACACTCTTTTCTGTGGTGTATAGTGAGAGGATAAGGGGATGCGGCTACAAACTGAACCATAAGAAGTTCCACACAAATGTGCACAAGAACTTCTTCGTGGTAAGGGTGACAGAGTACTGGAACAGACTGCCCATGGAGGTTGTGGAATCTCTTTCTCTGGAGATATTCAGCAACCCCTGGATGCCTATCTGTGCAACCTGCTGTAGGGAGCCTGCGTTGGCAGGAGGTTGGACTTGGTGATCTCTAGAGGTCCCTTCCATTCCCTACAATTCAGTGATTCCATGAACAGCTCAGTACATCCTGACAAACTGGCACACAGTGTTCTTTCTGTTCCTACGTAAGAATTCATGAGATCCATCTGGCATAAACTTTGTGATATTCCAACACTATCATCACCATTCCCAACACACTGCAGCCAATATATCAGCTCTATACAGAGTTTTCTGGTCATAATCCACCAGTTTGTATAGATGAACCCATCAAAATGCACTTCATGGTGTGGAATCCGTGTATGGCCACCTGGTATATGGCTTGTCTTTCATGTCTCTGTCATCACTGCTGAAAAAACACGATCACCTCAATGTACTAATATCCATTGTTTGGTCTCCATAAATGCTCAGCAAGCATCGAAGAACATCAGTGGTGCCATTTTTTCCATGTGGAGAAATTCCATGACAAATCTTTGTTTCAAACACACTTCCATGTCAGATGCCATTTTGTCACACCTCTGCTGCCAGCTGTTGCACAGCAACAAAACATAATGGAATACTGGGGAAAATGTTCAAACCCTACTGCCATACCACCAACATTCACTTCTGATGTCATGGGCCAGTATAATAAAATAGGAGGCATTACTTTCAGAGGAGCATGCATGTGCACACACGTGTCAAGAGTGAAATGAGACCAAATAGGTGCTACTATACAAATACATTGCCCTAAACCATCCCAGAATGGTGAGCGGCAAAGGACAATAGAGCAATTTACAGAGACTCTAGGAGCTATGTCCAATGTGCCATTTATACCAAAATAGTTTGATCTTAATAGTGAACAAGTTTTCCTGCTGTATTCTACACAATATACAAAAGAATACACACAATATACACAAACATATATGTTTAAACATATTCTTTCTTCAGACAGTCCTAAAAAATGCAAGACTTAAATGACTACCAAAAAGCCATAAAGTGAATGATAATAACTTGCTTCCCAAATGAACAAGCATCTGCATGTTTATTTTTAGAAAAAAGCAACACGTGAAACATTAATCTCTCTTTTTCTAATGAACAATTTTACTGTTATTAGATTATTAAAGTCTGTACACTGAACTTCTCAGAAATGAAAATTCTTACACTGACTCTCTGATTTAATACCAATTATCAAATGTTAATACCTTGCTTAAAAATTAATTACCAATTCTTTAACTGAAAATACTGTTGATTATTTTGGTCAGCTTTCTAACCAGTATTTTAATCAACGCTGCATTCGGCTTAACAATTAAAATAAAGGGAACAGATGTTACATCTACAAATTTGCAAGTGAGATCAATATATTGCATTCTTTATGAATAGAGGATGACTTCTTAACTACACATTCTTCATGTGCTGAAACAATATGAAACGGACTGATGATCTTGAGTTCTAAAATCAGTGGCTTTGATCACCTAAATTCTACACCAGAAAGTTTCTTCAGAGGAGAATAAGCGTCAGTACATACTAAATATAGATACAGTAAAGCACAAGTATTCAATAAGTTAAAACCAAACTAATGAGATTGTTCACCACTGTAATATATGATTGCATACATGCAGAATCAACATATTGAAATGCTTTAAAATTTCAAAAATATCTAATTTTATATGATAGCATGAGATTGAAACAGATTATGAGTGTAGTTTTTTTGAAAATTTCTGAGATACTTTAATAGCTGACAAGCATAAATTTTCATTGTTATGCTTTTTGGAACTTCCCTATACTATTCTGAGACAATAATCAATGTGTATCAGGAGACACCACATCTCCCACACTACTTAGAAAGATGAACTAGTCATCATCAACTTCCACCTAGAATAACAGAATCCTTAAGAGTTAGAAGGAACCTTTAAAGGTCATCCAGTCCAACTTAGCTGCAATGAGCAGGAACATCCACAGCTAGATCAGGTTGCACAGAGACTGATTCACCTGCACCCTCCAGGGACTGGCCTTCCACCAAATCTCTGGGTGACCTGTTCCAGTGCCTTACCAACCTCACTGTAAAAGACTTCTTCCTTATTTGTGGCTCTCCTCTGGACAGATCTTTGTCCCTCCTGTACTGAAGACTGTACATCTGGATGCAGTACTCCATGTGAGGCCTCACCAGCACTGAGTAGAGGTGCAGGATCACCTCCTTTGACCTGATGACTACGCTTCTTTTGATGCAGCCCAGGTTATGGTTGGCTGTCTGGGCTGCAAGGACACACTGCTGTCTCATGTCCAACTTTCCATCTATCAGAACCCCCAAGTCCTTTTTGGCTGGTCTGTGCTCTTACCTTTTCATCCCCATCTTGTATTAGTAGTGGATGTTGCCTCAACCCAGGTGCAGACCTTGCACTTGGATTTGTTGAACCTCACGACATTCTCCTAGGCCCACTGCTCAAGCCCTTCTAGGTCTCTCTGAATGGCATCCTGACCATGTTGACCGCACTCCACAGCTTGGTTTAATCAGCCAACTTGGTGAGAGTGCACTCAACCCCACTGTCAGTGTCACTGATGAAGGTATCAAAGAGTATTGGTCACTCTGTCAATGACCACCACTCTCTGATTTTGCAGCCAGTTCTTCATCCATTGAACAATCCACCTATCAAATCCATATCTTTCCAACTTGGAGAGAAGGATGCTGTGGAGTACCATGTCAAAGGCCTTACTGAAGTCAAGATAGATGATATCAGTGGCTCTTCCCTAGTCCATTGATGCAGTGACGCCATCATAAAAGGCCACTAGGCTAAAGTGGGATATGCCCTTGGTGAAGCTGTATGGCTTTACCATATTACCTCCCTGTCTTTCATGTACCTTAGCATAGCTTCCATAGGATCTACTTCCCTGCCAAATTTTTAGTTTAACTTACCTAAAAATATAAAACTGAACCTGTTTTAATCATTACTTATTCTTAATTATATTTTAAACTCACATATTTTATTAAATTCTCTAGTAAGTAATGTACTTAAAACTATCATTTTTCCGTAATACGCTCAACTGATAAATCAACTGATTTAAGCAGTTATTTAATTTGGATCAATACACGTCTCTGAATCTCGTCAAAGTGTAGACAATAAACACAGTCTATGTACTGGATCTAGCTCCATTTTGTCTATAATGAAACTAGTTCTGCACAGAAACATTCCAATGGACTTACAAGATCCAAGGCACCAATCTCAATGCTAAAGCTGAATTCAACTGCCAAATTCTTACTCTTTTAGCACATACAGAATGGATATTTAAGAAGTCATCATCTGTTGATAAATATTCTGAACTTACTTGCAGATTTCTAGTAATGCATTTCACTGGTAAAAATACCTGTTTTGTTTTGTTTTCCTCTAGTGGCTCTAAAGCATGACTACAGTAAAAAATTTCTAAAAAGCAGTTAAGAAGGCACATCAGCAAAGGCAGTTTGAAGAGAACTGAGCAGTTGGAGTTCTCACTTGCAATAAAAAGCAAATTTTAAAAATAAAAACAAACTCAGAATAAACAGTCAGCTTTCACTTGGCTAGGAGATATGTAGTCAATCTCCACAAAAATATGCACTGCTTAGCACGTTCATAACAATCCAAACAAAAGGGCAATTAAAAACTGACAGAGAATGCTGATACAATGGTATCTGAATGTGAAGATCCAGAAAAATTCTAATAGTCTGAATTATGTTACTACTGGATTGTCATCTAGGTTAATTTCAGTACATACTGAAATAAGCAAATATACAGTTGGAAAAAAAAATCCATAATTTTACTTATGCAATGAATAGCTCTAAGCTGACTACTACCACTCAGAAACAACACCTTAGAATTATAGATGACTTTGAAAACACTGACTTGATTCTCTGCTTCAGTTAGGAAATCAAATGGCATAATAATCCTGGATTTGTTAAAAATAACGTAGAGCAAGAACATGGAAATCCAAAAATCTTAAAAACCAGAAAGTAACCTGGAAAATGCTTCATGACAAATGAAAAACTTGATAAAAGGTGCACGTAAGTTTTGTGAAAGGGGTAACTACGGGTACACACTATTCTGAAAGAAAAAAGATAACAGAGTAGGATTATGACAAGTTCAGATTATCATGAGTGGAAAGGAGTAGATTGTTCATATGTTCTCCCAAAACAAGATCTTAACTGCCAAAAAGTGAAACTTAAGTTAAACATCAGAGTTCCTTGACCAGAAATTTTGTGGACAATAGATTTTTGTACATATTAAAACTGATTGGACAAAAATCACAAATGTAAAATATACCTAATAATATTAGAAACAAATAATACTTCAGACCCTAAGCATTTCCTAGCTGAAAAATATGATAGGCTAAGAGATAACAGAATAGTTGTCCTTTTACTATTCTCCTCCAGGGTTTTCCTTGTTGGTTAAGCCAATCTTTGATGTTATATTACACTTAAACTTTTTTGCTAAAAAAAAAAGTATAAGCTACAATAGAAAATGAAAGTGTTGAAGAAGGCAATGTTTATAAGTACTGTTTATTTCTATTCTAAAAATACTATCATACCATAAAACCTGTCTTTCAAATGCACAAAAGAGTTAGAAGTGGATGAACATTGAGTTTATAGACAGGAGGTTGTACTGAAAATGTGTTTATCTAGACAACTATTTAGGTGCAAATTTACAAACATAAATAGATATAACCTTGACAATCTTTTTTACAAGAAAACTAGCCTTTTATATGTTTTACTTAGAAATGCTAATGTTTTATTCATAAAAGCAAAAAAAGTTACTAATTTTCTGAACTACTGAATGTAGAATCTTAAAAAAAACATAAAGATGGATCAAAAAGACTGATTTAATAAGTGTATTTTTCCTGTTACTGAGCTAAAGTTGATTTGCATGTACAATGTTTAAATACCGAGGGATGATCTCAGTTTAGTAATAAATATATAAATAGATTTATAAATAAATAAATATGTTAGAAGCATGCTTAAAGAAGGAAGGGGATTTAACTATTGTAGGATTATTTGACATAACAGATGAAGCTCCTTCAGTACAAAGAAGGACAAATTTAACAAAGAAAGTTAAAAATTTACATTTGAAAACTTATTTCAATACCTATTTAAGAATAAATTTATGAAAAGATATGCTAGTTAGTGACCTTGAAAAATAAATGAAAAAAAATCCAAGGAATCTCTCATGGTGAGGAATAAAAAGGATTAGAATAATCTATGGAAGACACACCATGTTTTTGTTCCAAATATCTCACTGCTTTGAGGATTTCCTATAATCTTGGTTTTCAGAATAATCTACAAGAAACAATTTGATTAAGCAGAAAAGTTAAAAACCACAACTCACCAGTGATCTAACTTGGACTAGTTATGCTTTCTATAGCACATAAGCATGTCAAGCATGGATATACAGTAGAGACACCAAAGAATCACAAACCAACCATTATTCTCACTTCACAGTTTTAAATTGCTATAAGAAATATTAACTGTACGTGTATGTATATCTTAATCTTTGAAGCAACTACAATGGGCTGTTTTATGGAAAAGCTGAGGTTAATAAAATAACGAGAATATACTAAGAATAATGACCTCAGCAAAAGAATTGAATGGCAGTGGCAACTGACTAAAGGTAAAGCTGGTAAAATCAATGAAAAGATTTAAATATGCAATAACCAAAATAAGTAAATATGCATTTTATCACCGTAAATAAAGTTCCCATGAAATGTAATACAAAAGGTATACTTGCTTTAATAAGCTAATATATTTTAAATTCTAATAATGGATTTCCTTTAGAAAACAAAAGCAAACAGAAATCAAGTGAAGTAAAGCATTAGTGATATTTCTCTGGATGGTACTTTAAGTCACTGATGACATCACTGTACTCAGTGGCTTCATCAGGGGATTCCGGTACTTTTTCCTAGAGTACTAAATGTGGAAACGGTTTTGGGAAGGTAAATAAATGTCTAAGGAGGATTAACGATGCATTTGGGGTAGTGTATAAAATAATTGCAGAGAAAGTGAAACTATAGTGAAAGCGCTGGCAAGTTTTCAGAAGGTCTGGGTATGTGCAAACGAACAATAAGAACGGAAATCAGTAAGAGTTTACAGCTTGAAAATAATGATTTGAGAAAACAGACCTTAAAAATAAGAACACAGCAATGAATTGAATAAGTATTCAATATAAGCTATGATAGCATTTCCAAAGGATGATATTTTTGAAAAAGATGACTTACATGACTTGTAAACTTTCTGCTGTCAGGTTATTCCACATGATCTCATTAGCTTGAAGGTTTTCATTTTCTTCTAATAAGGATGTATCAAATTCTATTTCTTGTTCAACAACCTCTGAAGACCTAATTCATAAAATAAATATTGTATTTATAAAATTGGAATGTAGTTAAAATAGAACATAATTAAAGAACAGAAAGTAGCAATTGCATATACCTTCTTTATTCTTTGAATAAAGAATACACATGTCTTAAAAACACATGAGCATAAAATAAAATACAATTTTTTGAATTAAGTTCATAGGATAACCACAGTTTCTCAGAAGACACCTATTTGCACAGGCCATTGACCCTGCTATAAACCTGTACCTGACAATTACCAACTCACATATGTTAACAGTAAAGTATAAAATAAGGGGTCTTAGAAATATTTCCACATGTACCTACATGGAGTTACGGCCCAATAAGTAGCAAATGCAGTAAATTTAAAAATACAAGACTTTATTACATTATCTGCATGCTCTGTTGTTTCAGGCACTGCTCACTCCACAGTAATCACAATGTACACTGTGATGCCTAACATTTACTTTACCCACAATCAGGAGAGTGACAGAAATAAAGCATACACAGATAGCACTACAATGGATGCAAACTCCAACCAAATACACAGCAAATTAGATTGCACTGAAGCTGGATCATAATTTATAGTCCAGTGTCAGTAACCAAGCTATGACTTTTTACATGCAATAACATTAACATGGATTTTATTTTTCTACAACAGTCAAAGAGGTAGATGGTTAAACAAACATCTAGCAGCATTCTGTACATGCAAGTAGAACAACTTTTCAAATTATAATAGAGTTTTGTAAGTAACAAGGTGAAAGAAAAACAAATTCAAGTCTGACCACTCAAGCAGTATTGCAGTTCAGTGCAAGATTTACTCAAAATAATATGAACATGCAGACCAAGATAAAAATGTGTACCTGTGAGTATCTATGAAGTCGTTATACTCAGAATTAGGGTCTATTTGTTCAACTGAAGTCTGGATCTCTTTGTGGACATTCACAATCTCTTCTGTAACAAGACTGGTGATCTGGCTATACTCATCCAAGATTCCTTTTCTAGAGAGGAAAAAAAATTCTAGTATAACATGGCATTGAAGGCATAGATGGTATTGGAGATGCTTCAAAGTTTCAGTTTGCTGTTTCTATAAATTCTTGTTGCAACTGGCTAAAAAGGGAAAAAATAAGACAATGTATATTACTTAAAGCAATAACAGAGCATTTGTGGCCTTTTTCTTTATAAATTGGCTATAAGTGGAGATGTCTCTAAGACCATGATCCTTGTATTGATATCCAAATACACAGAGTAGATAAACTACAGCTGTAGAGATTACAAGAAAAAGGAATGTACACAACTTATGGATGACACTCTTTCACAACCAGAGGAATCATCATGCTCGTCATCATCTACTCTAAGCATCTCATGTACTCCTGAATAACAAAATACATTCTGAAACACGGGAAAATGAGTTGAAGAATGAGAATTTCCTTTAACAATTTTTTTTCTTCATTATTATTTATCCTTTATCATACAGTTATTTTATGAATTTGTTATTTAGACAAAACCAAGCATACTTCACTTTGACATGTTAACTAAAAAAGGAAAAAACATCAAAGAGGAAATTCACACAAGAAAGTACAAGCCATTCAGCCTACTAGTCAGTTCCAGAAGTGGGGAAAATAAAGTGATTAATCATTTCGTGATTAATGGTAAGTGGTAAAAGAACAGGCAGTATTTTACCACAAATTTTAAGAGCATCCAGTGACATTTCCTCAGAATACTTTCCCGCTCCCTCTTAAGTTTCAGCTTTCCACAAAAGAACCCTCTTTTTTTTTTTTTTTTGACAAACTTGCTGGCTTGCCAGGTTTTGAAGCATGGCAAGACTTTTAAAATACTTTTGATTTTGACCAGCCAAGAGGAAAACACAGAGGAAGAGGTAATCATACATTTTTCCTGGGTATGATCGTTAACTATGTTTACTCAGTAAATATCATTAATTGTTTGAATTTTTCCAGTATTTTTTCTGAGGAGAAGAGGGACCTTGCCTTGCCTGTGAATGTGTCTGAAAAAGTTCCAGAAAAGAGTTCAAAGAGTGCAACAAACAATAGGCCAATATCAGCTACAACAATGCTATATCTAAAAGAAAAGGAATCAATGACAATTACTATCTATTGACATAAAAACCAAACTAGCTGGTCTGTGAAATTGGAACTATTAAGGAATTATATGGCAACAATACCAAGCTCCACATATGAAATCACCATTTCTTTTTGTAGAATTAAGTCACGGTATCAGAAATCAGTAATTTCCCAATCAATTCAGTTTTAAAATAGAAAGTTTTAAAATTGACAAAAAAATACTTTTCAAGCTTGTATTCACAGACAGCAAATGCAAGTGGGCTCAATAGTCCCTTTTTATACAATGAAATTCTTCAGTGTATTACTTTAACTCACATTTCTGGAAAAAAAAATCAACTTAATTACAATGCAGAAATTTAACTGTGTTCTCTTGCTGTGATTCTACATACGTTAAGATTAAAAAGACTTAAAGTATTACAGAAGTCTACTTAATTTAGATTCTTGCACCAGAATTAATGACAGTAATACACTAATACTGATAATGGGGCCATTAATGTCTGCTTCACACAAGCATATCATAACAGAACCCTATAACAGGCTGCCCAGAGAGGTTGTGGGGTCTCCTTCTCCAGGAACATTCAAAACTCGCCTAGATGCATTCTTGTGTGACCTAATCTAGGTGTTCCTGTTCCAGCAAGGGCACTGGACTAGATGATCTTTCAATCCTGACATACTGTGATTCTGTGATATTGAGCACAAAATCTTTAATTCTCCCTCATTTCCTATTTGCTGACATAAATACAAACATATATTAAAATATTAATAATATATAAATAATATAATAAATATAGATAATATAATATATATATTATATAATAAATATGTAATACATTTAATATATAATACTTTTAATATAAAATATTAAAAGTAAGAAAATGAGTTACAGAAGATTGCCTCATATCTAACCGAACAATAGCTGTAAAAAGAAGTAACCATTCTGCCTTCTAGTGACTTACAAAACACCTAACAAGACCTAACCAACTCTTCAAGAAACTCTTCAGGAACTCTTCAGGAAGGTCACAGAGGCAGCATGGCAGCTACAGACCAGAAAAGAAAGCTTGATGTCTGTTCTCTAGGATAATCAGGTTACGCATCTTCTGTCATAATGCAGAGAATGATCTTCCAGGGAAAAGGTAGTTGTATTTTAAAAATGAAGGTTGGATTCCTCACAGTAAGGTTAGGTTTACAAGACCCTGTTATTTGCCCACACATTTGACCATGCATCTGTCTGGTTCGCCTCCAAAATGACTTTCAAGATGGATGGACAGTTTAAGCAAAAGTTTTTAGTGGCAAAATTTCATAAAAATAAGACTACTAGAAAGGCAACAAACTTCTATATTATTCCAGATGAAGGAGAGGATAAATTGTAAACACTGTAATTAATCTGTTAAATTGAAAAGTTAAGACAGTGTCCTGCCAATATGCATAAGTAATCCCTCAAAACTACTGCTTGTATTTGAACAAACTTATTTATGCACAATTATTGTCAACTGAAAGTTTAAAAGTTTTTTTAAGTACCCATGATATACAAATAATTGATTGCAGTTTACTAATTTTTAATAATGCTATAAATTAGAATACTACACACATTTGCAAGTTAAAATATGTAAGAAAGTATCTTACAGGGCTTTAATCATTTCTTCTTGCATTTTCTGTAGTGAATCAAGTAACAGAGGAAGCGTAGTGTCATAATATTGGTGCTGATACAACTGTGCTCCTTTCAGTGCCAATACATACTGATTATGCAACATATGAAGCTTCATAGTGGCTTTATCACATCGATCTTTGGCTTTCTCAGTCTCCTTTCCTAAGGGAAAACAGAATCAAAACAAAACAAAAAAAGAAAAGGTGAATTAAAAGTACACAGATTTGTGGGTGGCATAGATCTAACTGATATCTCATTGATGCATAATAGGTTTGCACTTTTTTATTATTATTATCCTACAGAAACATCAATCCAAGATATTTGGTAACACATGTTTTTTTAATTATTATTAGTTGGAAATACAACTTTTCCAAAGTATTTTTCTGAAGAAATAAATTTGACCATACTGAAGTTTCTAATACGACCAAATCTGTTGGTTTTCTTATTCCAGGTAAGAAAAAAAACTACTTTTACTTTGACAAGAATTCTTTACCTAGCAGTACATGAAAACCACTGTCTGCATTGGTATAGAAATAATATAACTGTCAAGAATAAAGGCTAAAAAATTCACTCACACAACTATTGAAACACTAATATTTCATTTGCCTCAAAGTGAACACACATCTTAAATGAGGAAAATAAGAGATGTCTTGCTAACTGAGATTTACACAAAAGCTGTCATTTATTTTCAGCAAGCACTCTAGTGCTACATATCATCCTAAGCAAGCACTGACACAGTCTCATATTAGGAGCTGAACTCCAGCACTGTTATTCCTGTACAAAACTCTCAGCTTTACTACAACTTAACATTTCCTCATCACTGTCAGTATACTGATCAGGAGGTCAACACTGCATCTTAGCTCTATCAGATCAGTTCAGTGCTGAACCAGAGAGCTACAAGGTACTTCAGGAGGTCATCTATTCTACTTTTAGCCACAGTAATTACACAGATATGTGACATGTCTTCCTAAAATCTCCAGTGTCAGCTATGCAACTTCCCAGTACCATTCAAGCCTAGTGCTGTGCTAGCTGAAAACACGTCCCTATCATCTAATTCCTTCATTCTCCAATACAAATTTATAAATTTAAACTGTTGCTTATTTTACCCATGTGTGACATGAAAAATAGATCCTACAGCCCTCTGTAATTCGTTTTTTATGTAGCAGAAGATAATGCACTCTCCTCTTCCACCCAATCTTCTAATCTTTACACCCAATGTTCTAATCTTTACACTAACCAAGCTATAGCCTTCCCCCATAAATCCTGTTTTCCCTTAGTGCCAAATAGCTCACAACTTTACAAAAATGTAACCTCAGGTAAAATTCAACTTTGGAAGCCAAAGGGTAAATTACACTCCTACCTCCCCGNNNCCCCCCCCCCCCCCCCCCCCCAAAAAAAAAAAAAAGGCTTTTTTTGAACACCATACAATCATGCTGTAAGGATAGGAGGCAGTTGATATAGCTGCCTCAAACTTGTTTCAGGTCTCAGATCACCCAGGAAAGGCAATGATCACAATTAAGTAATAAAGAAGAAACAGCTCACCCTTTTCCATGGATCAAGCCTCACTAGAAACTCCCAGAGAAGGAGATCTCCAAATAGAGATGCTTCCTTTTGGCTACCAGCCCTAAAATGAGGTTAGGACCTAGAGTCCATCCCTTCCAGTCATGTAGGTGAATTGCTTGCATCTGTGCTCCCAGTGCTCAATCCCTGGTTCAGGCTGTGACTTAAGGGTTCCCATACACATGTTAGCACTAAACATAAATATATATATATATATATATATATATATATATGTAAATATAAATATATGTACATATATAAATATATATGTATATATATAAATAGTGGTGTATATATATATATACACACCACTATTTATTTCTAGCCATCTCTTGAGTTTCTTGAATGATCTGAAACCCTATAGCTATCCTCCAATGCACTTTAAATCCCTTTAAGGTATACTGATACCTGTAAATTTAACAATCAAATTCTAGATCCAAGTGATGATACACTAAAAGACCACCCACATCCAATCCTAACATATATCCTGCATGATACATTATTCTGACAGGACTCCCTTAATACCTATTCACCAACCAGCTTTATGCCGACAGCTTTGCATCTCTACTGGAATATTTCCTGATCATGCACTGCCCTTGTCATCGTCATGAAAGGATAATAAATTATATCGATGATTCCTTACTGCAACTTATAAGATCTTCCTCATGTCCTTGTTATAAAAAATCAGATATTTATGAATTGTCTGATTACTTCTTCCAGGAATTTAAAGCATTTGAAATGAATCTTTATCTGCAATTATCAAGTGCAGATTCACAATTATCAGCACAAATTAACATAGACTAACTAGAACAATCTCATTTAAACTGCTGCATTTCTTTTAATTTATCGGTAAATTAAATAATAAAAGACTATTTTAACATGTGAACTACGTATCACAAAGCATTAGTGAAAAGAAAGACACAGCAGATTAAAACCTTAATGTATATCTTAAAAAGCTGAAATTTTGTCAAACAAGAAACAGAGAAAGGTATACTCTCATAAAATACAGAAACACATTAAGGCATGTCAAAAAAAGTTGAGAGACAAACTTATAGAACAGCAACAAATTGGTGCTCTTTCAAATACACAGGAGTCAGTAAGCTTGTCAGAAAGTCTAAATGATAGTTAGCTATATAAAAAGAGCTGGTAGGGAAGAAAAAAAATATGAGTATTTTCCATTCATGTTCATTATGAATAACATTCAGAATTTTCCATGCTGAAATGTCTCTCTATGAAAGAGATAAACAATCTCTCCTCTGAGGCGTCAGAAATTAGCAGGACTGGAAGCTGTTCAGCTTTAGAACTCTAAAGGTATCTGAGAACATTATAACAGAAATATTATAATCAGTTTTTTTTTAATGGAAGAATTAGGCACTCAGTGGATAGACCTCAGAAATATTAGTTGGGGCTAAATATATGAGGTGATGAAGATGCTGTTGAAGATGTTGACTCAAGCAAATTAAAAAAAAAATCATGCTTCACTGGAAGACTTTTTTTGTTTTGTTTTGCCAAAATGTAAGAACACTGAGCTATTTTTTTTAAATCAAACCTATATCATTTCAGGGCAGGAAAAAAACAGCATGGCCAGAATAGCATTCCAGAACTTAGAAACTGCTGAGTGCATCTGACACCAGTGTACCAAGACCACAGGACAGTGGAATAGTGTAGTATCCCACTTTCCCATTCTTAGAGTACTTGGTTGACTATATTACCCCCTAACAAAAGACTTCAGCAAATCTGAGAATGAATCAAAGTGTAATAAAGACTCAGCTTTCAAATACAGTAGGCTATGGCATCATCTTGGCTGCTGATAGACAAAACACACACTAGATGGTGTTTGTAGAGAATAAGAACATGTAAAGATAATGGAAAGTGACCGAAGAGAGTTTGGAGGGGAAGACATCAAGTAGTAGTTAGAGTTTCAGAACTGGATGAAAGAGGACAAGGCAGAGGACTGGACAACAGGACAAGGCAGCTGGAACTCCGAACTGGACCAGCTCAGTTTTGCTTAAACTTAGCCTAACCCTTGCACTGCGCTGAGAACTCCTTGGCAAAGGACGTCAACATGGCAGCAGAGAAGGAAATGTTGGACTGTTTAGATTACATAAACCAAAATTATCTCCAAATATTACAGTAGAATTAAGAGCTTAAATTGTGCAGCTTGTCAACACATGTCTTTAAGCTGGCATACTCTACCTGTTAAAACAAAAATCAACATTTGTAAAACCACACAGAGCTCCATCAGTAAACACCTCAACAGAGAGCTTTCAACAGCTAAGCTAATCTAATCACACCGCTAATAATAACTACTACATAACTATCAGCACTGTATCACTTTCATGACACTTATTAATGGCTAAACTACTCCATTTTATGCTGTAAGAACTAAATGCCTTTGCTATTCACTCACTAGGAAAATAACTCCAAAAATTCTAAACTAGATCAACTTACCATACACATTCTACTTTCAAATGCAGTCTCTGAACATGGAAATAATAAAAGAAAGGTAGCTACACTACTACTCCCATACTTCATTCTTTAAAGCAGAAAAATGCAGTGAGGCTGAGTACACAGTTGTTCTATGTGTCAATTAATATTGAGGAAAACATCAAATTTTCTTTATCTGTATACAGAATTTTATGAATAGATATAATCCCACTACCATCAGTTGTCAAATGTGTTCAATGTTTATGGAAACAAACTGAGTGTACAATATGTCAAGTACTGTGAAGCTTGAAAAATTAAATTACGAAAGTTTGACATTTGCAAAGAAAAGGCTGGTGTTCTTGTTAAACTATTCCAGAGAGTCAAGTATTTCAATTTCTGTTAAAAACTCTGTTACATATAGTAGAGGAGCCATCCAGAAGAACTCTTGTAGGGTGTTTTCTATTAAAAGCACAGATTCACTTACAATGTCAAAATGTAAACTGGACAACTCTTTAGAACTAAGAAAAAATCAGCTCATAAAGTTTATTTGATCATATTTTAAATAAGTATTAATCCACAGTGAAAACATCTCAAAGAAACTGACCCTCAGAAAATAAATATTGCACAAGCAGAAAAAATTTCATATGTATTTTGGATTAAAAAGACATAATTATACTGAGAAGTTCAATTTTTTCTCCTTACAACTTTTACCCTCAGTGTTTAATGTTTGGTCAAGAAGTGTTAAATAAAGGCTTAAAATCTTTTATATGTTCATTATTTTTAGCTATCACCAACTTCAATAAAATTTAACATTTGTAAATTTTCCAAATTTAGATTACAGTTAATACTGTTCTACTGAAATTGCTAAGCTGTAATACCTTGACATATAGTGCAACATATTCATTCATTTGCACACAAGGATCCATCTACTGAGGGGTGGCATCTGTAGTACAACACTTAGGAACTAGGAGAAGTTTAGCTGTTCAGATTTCAAATTCAGCTTCATGGTAGTGTGAATTAAGAAATAACCAATACTCTATTGTTTCTGAAACAGCAGATTCCAGGTAAGCTTTCCAGTTTAAGAGTTTCAGCTAAATATCAAGTAATATCCAACAACACAAGTGAAGATCCAAGAGATAAAATCATTTTACTACAAATTTATCATTTTGAAAGAG